GCTTTGGATAGCACACTTTGTAGTTTATTGACCTATACAAAATAATAGGTCTAAAAAATTCAGAAGTAGTAAAAGAATAGGCAAAAAGAGCTTTCGCATTTCTAAAAGGCTATACAAATATGCCAAAAAAAAAGAAATAAGTTATTTTTTTATTTTGCTTTTGTTCGTTTAATTCCAAATCGCGGCCCTAATAATACAAACGACTAAGTACCAGCTTAACAATTGTGTCCTTCTGTATATATTACATGCTCTAGAATATTGGTAAAAAATGTCAAAAAAGGTTTATCAGAAACTTTTCTATTCACAATATGAACAAGGAGTAGCTAACCCTTTGTATAAAAGAAAAAAAGAGAGCACCATTTTATGGAATCTTGAAGCACGTTACAGCTGAGAAACGAGAGATAATTTACAGTATGCAGCAACTTGCTGCAAGTTACACAAGACAACCCATGCTAATTTGTTCCTACAGATGGATGATATGAGGTAGGTTTCTCTCTCCTAGGCCAAAACTGCAGTCGCACTATTTTGTTTCTCGAAACGAATGGTTTTGTGAAAATGCTGTTTTGTCCCTTAGTGACTTTGCAATGCACCTGGCAGCTCAGCCGGCTCGGGTACAGCTCTAATGCCCTTAATTTTAAGGCACCCGCTTGGTCGGTTGGTTCCGTTTGCCTCCACCTGACAATACTGGCCATTACAATCAAACTGTTGGGTGTGCGATCGCTAGAGCGCTCCATTCCCATCCTCGACTCACTATGGCAGAGCAAAATGCAACTGTTACCCAATTAATAGCTCATTGTGCACCCAGAGTGGACATCTGCACAATGATATTGTACCATGGAAAGTTCACTCAATGCGAGGTTATTAATTACACTTTATCACGGAAGAGAGTTCAAAGTTTACTGCTTCTGTTTCCAAAAATCCACAACCACCTATAGTTTTACATGACATTTTGTGACAGCAAATACCTTTCTTTCCAGAACTTGCTTGTGGTGCTAACAAACACTCTTAACAAAATACCCCAAATATGGATAATCTCATTCAAACCTCCATAAAAAAAAAAATCCAGCCTTCCTTCAAGTAATGATCCAATACTGATTAAGTCCTTTGCCTCGTTCACACATACAGTATCTATCCTTCATAGGCTTATGAAAGTCCTTCCAGGTCATCATAAGCCATGGGAGAAGAAACTTTCATTTCCTCTTCTTTCAGACATGGAAATTGTGCTCCTAAAATTCCTGGTTTTCCATAAGAGTTTCCTTTTCACATTTTTTTGAGGTTTGCCTTCAACATCTTCCAATCTTCCCAAAAGTGCTTGCTAAGTACAAATACTTCAACCAAGTGCTGCATCTTGTCATAGATTAACTTGTGGCTTGCCCTTGCTCACGCTGGCCATCTGGATTCAGAAAGAAACACCACTGTGGGTAAGACTTGCTAGTTTTTGCTGTAGTCCCTCTTAATGCTGAATTTCCATCTTCCCCAGCCAAACAGAACGCTTCCTGCTAGCTTGATTTGGAAGCTCCACCCGAGATCCTCTTCGAGGAGCAGCATTTTGTGCAAGGCACGCAAGGGTACGAACGCAGGGCTGCGAGCGGTCTACACGAGAGTCCCAGGCTTTGAATCCTCGTGCCAAAACAACCTCTGCTCGTTGCTGTGCAGGTCGTCTCCCGGGCGGCTCTCTGCGTCGCCACCCGGCTCGGCACAAGCTCTGCAAAAGAGAGAGGGCATCAGCGCTGAGACGGAGCCGAGGGGCTTCCCAGGCTCCTGCCTACTGGAGAGGTCGAGTCCCATCCCACCTCAGTGCAATCCACACGAATCCCAAACTTGAGAGTTTGACCCCAGGGTAATGCAGATCCCCAAACAACCCCAGGCTTTGTGCTCTAGTTCCTCAGAGCAACCGGATCCCAGGAGCTCGGTGCTGTTAAGACTGCAGAACGTATCACATTAAGACAAAACAGAAGAGATAAATGAGGTATTCAGAATACAGAAAAATAGATAGAGCTGTCGAAATAAGCAGACCTTTTCAAAGCCTAATTATAGGAAGTTAAGGAATTAGTAGGAATGCTGTTTTAAAACACTGTTACTGTCACTGCAATAAAAAAAGCCTGAGGTGTGTAGTCAGAAAATTCTCCTAGGAGAAGCTTTCATATTCTTTGCTTACACTTTATTTTAAAACAAATAGGTGACAACAGCCAGCGTGGCGGAGGCACAGGGTGCAGGTCGCTGTGTCCCCAGCACAGAAAGCCTCTGTGCTCACTGCAAACAGGTGGCGTTGGAGGGGGGACAGAAAACCCCAAATAGAAGAAACAAGAGGAAACGACCATGCAGCAGAGGACATCAGCCTTCACCATGCTCCTTTCCCCCTTCCCTGAATGCTGTTGGCACAACCAGGCTGCCCTGCTCTCTTCATGCTGGTTTTATTGCTCTTCATACCGGCCCTCCGAACCCCGGGCTTTCCTCAGGAGGTTTTATAGTCTATAAAGGGCGAGGAGGGGCAGGAATCCTGACACACTCCACTCACCTGCTCTGCAAAGGAAGGCTGCTGTAAACGTTCCCATAACAGCTGGCGTAGGAGGAATGAGACAACGTGTCGTAGTCGGAGAGCCCCAGCGCGAGCGGGTTCCGCCAATTCCCTGCAGTGTTTGCAGAAGATGCTACAATTAAAAAAAAAAAAAAGCACCACCAAATTAGATCCTTCTCCAGCCAAACCAGCTGAAGGAAGAGGATGGTTCTCATTAGTGATCTCTACAGGTTTCTGCAGGGGACAAGAGCAGAAAACATAAACACAAAATATGATTTATAAGCACCGGGAGGAGCAAAGCACTGAGTGTGCAGTATTTCTGCATTATGCAATATCTCTTTAAAAAGACTTTATGGCCCATTCAGGGATGCTTATTTTGGAAACCACCAGAGCAACCGCATGTACACCACAAAGTCTTGCACACTGCTTGTCTTTGCTAAACATGCCTGCTTGAAACCTATACGACCCTTACATTTGCATTTACAAAGAGCAAAACAGATAACATGAGAAGGCAACAAGTAGCCTAGAGTGCTCTGCGTACAGCTCCCATCTCAGACTCCTCTTGGCAATGAGCTCTGCCCCAACTGCAGAGCAAAGAAGTCCTCTGCTCCTGACCGCAGCACGGGCTGGTGGCCCATGGTCTGACAGCTTCTCTTCCCCTGAGGTCCCTCAGCTGAAAAGTTGCTGTTGGCTCCCACTCAACAATTCCTGGGAATTCTGTATTGCTCTTGAAAAGTCTTTAGACTGTGCAGGGGCTTGGGCTATCAGCACATGAACCTACTTGATCCCCAGGCAGGTGATGGCCCTGACAGATCATAAAAACAGTGCGGTATTTTTACCGTAGTTTCTACTGAATGGCATCAGGTACACTCTCAGTAAAGCATGAAAACAAACCAGACTATAAAGAGTATCTGGTTGTGTTAGTTGCCACGGGGTTTGCAGAAAACACTCCTCTCTGAGTCTGTGACCTTTGAACATGCTGTGTGCACGACCTGTACGTGGGTGAGTGCTCGGGGCGCTTCTCCCTGAAGCTCAGGGTGCAGTAGGAGCTCTGCAGTGCCAACCAGGTCAGGGACAATTCTGAGCTCTGGGCTGCCACCTCACCCAGCGAGGGGGACTTTGTTGCCTCCAGCAGGTAGATGTGCAGAGAGGCTCTCCTCCAAACACCCACAACAGAAATCCCAGCTGAGTGCACATCTACCTTTCAGGACAGAGCTCTAGCATCGGGTAGGCTCCACTGACTTCACTGAGAAAGAAGAAAGGATGCACAGAAGGAACACACAAAACAGAGCAAATCAGGCCTTACCTGAGGAAAAAGAAGAAACCCGACTGCTAGGAGAGCAGGGAACTTGCAGAGCAGCAAAGCCCAAACTCCTCTGGGACCCTCTGTCAGACTCAAAGCCTGCCTGCAGGCCGTGACCCTGTTCCTTTTGACTGGAGGCACGTTGGTACCAACCGCGGAGATGCTCTGCAACTAAGGCCTTGTGAATGTTTTTGGTTATATGCTCTGTTTTAGCAACTTGCTTCCTCGGAAGCCGTAGGGTTGCATACGGGTTGTGCGGTACTCGGTCCACCTCGTCCTCGTGGTAAGACCTGAATTCCCTGTAACGGTCATATCCATAATGTGCCGACGAGCGATAGGAAGGATTGACACTGTACTGTCCCTCGGTATCGCTCTCGTAAACATACCCTCCGTTGTAATAAACATCAGGTTCAGTGTAAGGGCAATATCCAGAAATATAGTAGCTGGAGGAAGGCTGTTCCTGACTTTTGTGGTAGACACCATTCCGGACATCCTTCTGGGCAAGATTTGGCATACTTCCTGAACTTGCAGCAGAAATATTTTGTTTCTTGGACCGCCTTCGACCCCTGGTCCTGTTGTCAAGTGTCTGTGTAGTGTAGTACGTGCTGGGAGTAGGTGTCACGCAGTAATATTCTGTGCTGGACTGGCTAGTGTAGGATGACCCATCATCCAGGATTTCCGTGCTGCTGCTTCGCTGCGATTTTGAGAGGGAGAAGGCTGGTTTTTCGCCAGGGGGCTCGGACAGCAGGTGGGTTTGGGACTCCAGACTTCCACTGCGCTGCCTGCAATGGTGGGGGGAGGCGTCTGGCCTGAAACGACACGGGTGTAGCAGGTTAAAACAGTCCCATGCACACGTGCAAAGCGTGCGTGTGCACGGAGAGTTTGCTCCCCAAGCAAAGCACAACACACACGTGGTGTTGCCGTTAGATACAAGTATCCACATTGCAAGAAATTCAGCTTGGTTGAATTTTACACTTGCTGCAACAGTAGGACATTTCCCAAATAAAAAACCATCATGATGACCAAGTCAATCTGTGATGGTAAAATAATCTAAAATCACATTTTAGCAATGATTTACACAAGGGATGTCCCTGACTTTAAGAATGAAATATCTATGTATGTACCCAAGCAAGGAGCAAAACATAGGAAGCTGGGTTTCCTGTGGCTCTGTGTCTCATGGTTGGATTACTCCAGCCAAGCAAAGCGTGAGCCCTTTGTAATATTATAATATCTATAGCAGCTCTCCTCCCCTGGATGGATTCTTGGCTGCCTGATAAGGCAGTTGAACTTGTATGTATCCGAATCAGTATGGGCACTGACTTGGATCTCCTCTATCTCTCTTCTTATTTTTCAGAGGCCTTACAGGAACTTAATCTATAGAAGATGCTGGATCATCTCGTGAGCAAGTTTTGGGGTTATTTTTGTAGAAGCGGGGAGGGTGGAGCAGGGAGAGACACCACTGATGGTGTTTGGACTTGTGCACATGCTCTCCCTTGCCTGTCACAAAGCTGGTGCAAGACTGTGCCAGCAGACAGTGGCTGATTGACATTACTCTGTGCTTCAGATATCCCAGGCAGACCTTTTGAGAGGCTGATCCTGCTACACGGAGATGCACAGCACAGGACCCCTCCTCCTCCTCCCCACACCCTTCACTTTTGTTGTTTGGCAGCCCAAGGCGGACACGGGGCCCCATCCCAAGCGTCCTTACTGCAGGTGGCTGCTGCTGTAGGCGTTGCGGGTGAGCACGGGGGTGCTGGGCATGCTCCTGCCGCCGGGCGCCTGCGGCGGCCGCTCCAGCGCGCGGTAGGGGCTGCTGTGAGTCGAGAGCGGGTCCCTGCGGGGAGAGCGGAGACACCCGCGGGGTTAACGCAGCGCACATGGACACCACCCCAGGCCTCGAGAAAGACACAAAAACCAAAGGCAGAAACAAAAGGTGAAAGAGGAACTGAATACACTGTCCATGTAAACGACGGTATTTTTGAAACAAGCGACGGTATTTTTGAAACAAGAAGAAATTAACCCTTCTGGTAGTTCAAGAGGATGGCAGAGCAGAAAAGTTCCTCACAGCCTGATCTGTAGGCTAAAGGATGAAGTGGAAGAGTCAGAAAAGGTAACAGACACAATTCAAAAATAAACCACAGATAATATATAATTGAACTATAATTCAATTTCTGGGCTGAATGC